ATTTAATAAAACAGAAGAAATTGAGAAACTGTGGAACCCTGTGGAATACCTGGGGTTTCACCAAGATAACAAGGCTTGTTTTCTGCAGATGCTCAAGCTCTGGAAGAAAATTCACAGCAGGCCCAGGGCAGCCCAACCATCCGAAAAAAAAGAAAGTGAAATGAAGAACTGGACAGAGGGGAGTGAGGCAGACTATTAAACTTTGGAGACCTGGAAAAAATGCTTGTTGGTTAATAACATTAATAATCATCACCATAATGATAACGGTAACTAAACACGCTGATCACCCTGTATGAATATTTACACTCAGTTCTGTGGGTGGGTCTCAGTTTGTGGATGAGAAAACTAGGGATTAGAATAAATGAGAAATTTCTGTTTATGGCATCATGGCATACTAAATAATGCAAAAACTAAAGTCCACAAAGCATTAGATTTGCTCAACAAAACAACACATCCTTCCAATCACAAAATGGCAGTTGCAAGTAGTTTGATCTTCAAGTGTCAAAATCAAAGGGTGAACTGCACATTAGAACAGTAAATAGATACTGCAGCTCTCCTGCGGGCGGCTGACTGGGACAAGTGGCCAGACTTACTGAGCGAGGGGCTTGGATTTGAATGGCCGTAAGAGGATAAAAGATGAGGTGCTGAGCGTGCATGAAGTGGGCAGTTGGTACAGAGACTCCTCCACATGAAGTTAGGGACTTAAAAGAGTTACACCCTCCGTGAAAAGAGACAACAGGAAGAAATTCATCACTGGGACAGGAAGACCACAATGAAATCTAACTATCTCTCCCAGGTTATGGGTGGGAAAAAATGGCTACCCTAAGAATTTGTATCCATGTGTCTTCAATCATAAGAGTTCAGAGTTCTAATATATACTAACTAGGTTACCCAAAATGAGAATCTAATACAAAAAATTATCCCAAGTAAGTGATATTTCCTAGGGCACCCAACAGAAACAAATGAAAGGACACCCCCTTAACCTGGACCATTCCCAAGTTCTATAAATAAAGTCTTTCCGAAAATGAGTTCATAATCCAAATTCCAACACAAAAAGAAAAAGTCCACCATGAACACCATGAATGAAAGTCATCAGTCACAGTAAACAATAAGTAAGAAAATCCCATGGACAGAGGAGCCTGGCAGGCTACAGTTCATAGGATCACAAAGAGTTGGACACGACTGAAGTGATATAGCGTGCCTGCAGCTTAAATGCATATATTGGAAATTTAAATTTTTACTCTAATTACCACAGAAGAAATAGTAGATATTTTAAATAGTGGATATTTTCTGCCTTCCACAGAAATAGGGGATATTTTAAGACTTACTCTCAAAGGAGAAACTATTTAGGACTGAATGAAAATGAAAATGCCACTTTTCAAAACCTGTGGGAAGAAACTGAAGTTTTTAAAGGACATTTTGCAGCTGTTAATGCTTATTTATATTAGAAACACGGGCTGAACATTAATGAGCTGAGCACCAGCCTCAACAAGGTAGAAAAAAAACAGAATGAACCCAAAGTAGGTAGATGGAAGTTGAAAAGTTAGAGCAGTCGATGAAGTGTGAAACAAGCTTCCAATAGAGAGGTCTGGCAAAACACAAGATTTGGTTCCTTTTAAACCTGACAAAGTGATGAGATCAGGAGAGGCCAAGTAATGAAGTGACAGGAAGCATGGACGCTGGAGCTGATGGCCTTATTTGAGTCCCTACTCTATCATTGACCAGCTACGTGGCCTCAGGCATGTGACTTGTGGCTGGCACTGGTGAAGCCACAGGACAAACCCTGGACCATGGACCCTGGTGCCCATGCACTAACTCATTATCCTTACAATAGCACCTCTGAGTCGTGTATTCAGACAGGAGTATCTTCCTCCCATAATGAAACTGGGCATTATTATCTCCATTTAATCAATCCTAAAGGAAATCAACCCTGCATATTCATTGAAAGGACTGTTGCTGAAGCTGAAGCTCCAATAATTTGGCTGCCTGATGGGGAGAACCAACTCATTTGTAAGGACTCTGATGCTGGGAAATATTAAATGCAAGAGGAGAAGAGGGTGGCAGAGGATGAGATGGCTGAATAGCATCACTGACTCAATGGACATGAATTTGAGCAGCAGTGGAGGACAGAGGAGCCTGGCATGATGCAGGCCCTGGCGTCAGGCACAACTGAGCAATTGAACTACAGCAACAAACAAATGGAGAAACCAAAATTTGGGGAATGTAACTAATTCTCCTCAATTCATGAAATACAAACTGTTAGAACTGATCCAAGACCAGATTTTTCTGACCCCAAAGTCTGTCCTCTTAACTACCTGTGCTCGTCTATAAAAGGAGGAAGATTCCTGTTGGCCACTCACTGTGCACTCAGCTTCAGGGAAAATGTCTTTTCTAATGCAAAATGTGAAAAAAGAGGGCCAAGTACCCATTGCTCATACAGACAAGCTCCTGCGTTTAGTAATGATAACCCAGTGGTTAAGATTATGGGCTTTGGAATGATAAATAACAATTGGCAATTTTTATGTCAAGTATAATGTTAAACTCTTTCAATCCTCCTTTCAACATCCCTTTAATATTTTACATTTTGCCAATTTTATTTCATTGATCCTCCATCTCCACATCCATGTGTCTCCCATCGCTTCCCCCTTTCCTTCATTTCTTTACTGGCAAATTCTAGAATAAACCCTGGACTATGTATCATTTCATTTGTAAATATTTCAGTACATCTCTCATATGAAAAAGGCTTTTTTTTTTTACAAAACTTAACCATAATACTCTTATTACACCTTATATAATCAACACTAATTTCTTAATATCATCCAACACGTATCCCACGTTCAGATTTCATTGACCGCAAAGAAAACAATGGGCAGAGACACACACACCTTGCACGAGGCCAGCTTAACGGAGGGCCCAGGGGAAGGAGGGAGCTACTGTGGCTGGTAGGTGGTAAATCGTGACCCAGGACATCCAAGTGCCAGACATTCCCCACATGGGGGCCGGATGAGAGTGATCAAACCTGAGATGATGACTGAGGGCAGGTGAAGTGAAGGGAAATAAATGAATTCTGTTGACACAATTACATGCTGGGTTCTGTGCTGCCCACAGAGTGAAGCGATGCTCTTTCTCACATTGGATTACTCAGTTTTGCAGGGAGCTGTTGAAGTTCAATGGTTAAACTCCTGGGAACAAGTAGCCTTATACCCTAGAATTATCTACCAAGTGCCGCTTAATTTTATTACAGGGGAGAACCACAGACTTCCCCCATACTGGGCTGCCCTTGGGAATCAGAGATAGGGGCTGGGAGCAAAGCTCAGGAGCTTTCTTCTCACTTCTGGGGAGTCAGGACCAGGAGCATGGCTGTGAGTGCACGAGACAGGACAAGGTACAATGTCAGGGAGAGGGTTCCTGAGCCATCAGTCTTTCTATGTGTGATTTAACACAGTAAGAGTTTATTTCTCATTCCTACAAAGTCCATCATAGGTTTGGGGTCTCTCCAGAACAGGTTTCCCTCTCCAATATAAGGGGCTTGACATTCCAAACTGTTCCGATCTTGTGGCTCCTCTCTCTGTATGTGCTTAGGAGGCAGGAAAAGATAGCACTAGAATCCTGTACCAACAAATAAATGCTTCAACTAGGAAGTGAGATACCTGGCTCACAACCCGCTGCTCAAAACTATTAATATCTCAGGATTCTGTCTAACCACAAGAAGCAAAAAAGTCTAACCACTCCCTTCTTAATTTTCACTAGGATACAAGCTCCAGGATGATGTGCATTTTGTCTCCTTGTCCAGTACAATATCTTTAGATAGAAGAGTACCTGAGCATGTTATTAAATTGAATCAAGGAATGTAATGCCAGCAAGAAACACACCCTTGTATCTTGGGAGAAGAGACAGAGTCCCAGGGGTGTGAGGCTGAGGGTGCTGGGTAAGATCTATGCACACCGGAGCTGCAGAGCTGGCTGTGCTTAAGGAATAATACTGCTTGGTGCCGTTCATCTTAGAAAGAAAATGAAATCATGCTGAGAACGCCAGACCAACAGCTCGGGTGGTTTTACATCATCAAACACTGGAGCCGAGGCTCAGAGCAACTGAGCAAACCACCACCACAGGTGCTCAGGTCCCGGAAGGAGCTGCAATGACCACAAATGCATCTCTGAGCCATCAGTCTTACACACCCTTAATGTCCCAATAGCATCCTTTTTGCAGGTTCTAATATTGTCCCATAATACAGATCAAGAACTTCAGGTGCAAAGAAGTTAATTTCACACAGCTACAGATTTGCAGAAGCAGGATTACAAGCCAGGCCACTTAACACCAGAGCTTGTATTCTTTTATCCACATCAAACTCCTGGGGTCCAACTTTCTCGTTCACTGATTGGGAGTGGCAAACCCCACCATCTCCCCAGAACTGTGCAGAGGAATGGAGGATGAGGGGACAAAGCTATCAGCACAGTATCTGGCACAATGATGATAATGGTGATAGCAGTGACAACTGGTACTTGCAAAGATACAGATACACAAAGATGTTACCACTACTGACTGCTTAAGAATAACTTACTACATAAAATCTTCAAAAAGATACCTTTTCTTCCTTTTCACTCTCACAAACCTTCAAGAGGACATTTGTGCTCTATGTGAAAGCTAGTTTTCAAAATCAAAGTCATGGCATTTCACATTATATGAAGATATGAAGAAAAGCATTTAAAAGAATCTAACAAAACTATAGAGAAGTTGGGGGGAGGGGAGCTCACATTTCTCAATGCAGTAGATGTAGCTTTGGACTTAATTTTCTAGAATTCTTGAAATATTAGTGATGGCAGTATAAAAGACCAATTAATCAGGTTGTTTGTTCTCTGTGTGTGAGTCCCTGTTGCCATCTACAGTTAAAAATGGGGCATGCAATGCTGCCAAATATCTAGCTCTAAAAACATAGTACTGGAGATGATGGTGCTAAGGAAACAGGCTTGTTTGATGGGCACAGAAAATGGAAATGGTACCTGGAGGAGCAGCTCTTTTTCAACCACCTCTTCTGTCTTGCTGATGAGACGCTTCTGCAGTGTATGTATTTTCTGTATCAGCTCAAAGGTACTGGGGTCACTGGCCTATTCAAGGGGAAAAAAATAAAGCAGCTGAGATTACCAGGTCCAGAGCACTGAGGTCCCTACAGAATTATTGGTCTATTAAAATTTATTGCAAAGTTATAGACCCAATATAGACAAGAATCAGAAACAAGACAAAACAAAACAAAATGCATTGCACGACAGAATGAGACAGTCATCAAAACAGACTGATGTTTGGCTAGTATCGTCTGTTGTCCCTAGTGAGCCTGTAAGTGGAAAGTGAGTATGTTTATTCCACCGGGGCAAATAATAACAGCAGCAATGATGGCAGCTCCTGGGCCTAATAACCTGATTCTTTGCCCCATCTGAACACTATGTTAAGTGCTTTTCACACATTATCAAATTTTAGTCACTCAACAGTCCTGTTAGACAGTATTACCTTCCCCTTCTACAGATAAGGCAACTGAGGCTTAGAGGAGGTTATTTACCCATGCTGATAAAGGTCAGAGCTGGATTCAAGCCCAGATATGCCTGGTTCTAAAGCCCGGGCTTCTTAATTACTATGCTCTGAGGTTTTCCCTACTGTCATTTGTTTACATTGGAATGAGACAGGGTTCCCTAACTCATTCGGTCTCAGGGTTCTCCTTTCATAATTGTCAACAAGAATATTCATTACAGCCTATGATGGGGCAAGTTCCCAGGATGTGGAAGTCTGCTAATTATTAGCATCAGGACATGACCATGGCATTTAGCTTTGGCATTATCAATCCGTAAAGCTCTGAGGCACCTTCAGTAACTATCTGTGTACAATTCAAACAAGATCTACTATTATACACTGATAATTTGCCCTCTAGACATTGAGCCAAAGGTTCACTTTCAACTATACTGACATTTGGAATTAATCTAGCAGCTAAATATTTTCAACTGCCTCCCAGAGTCTGTTTTCCAATTTTTTTAATAGAAATTGACGTGGAATTGGAAACTTTAAGAGATCTGCTCGAAAACACATGGAATAAACTAATGTGACAGTAAATGAATTTACAGTTTTCATCTCTCTTCCCCAGACACATTCATGTTATTGTTAGTTTAGTAAATTACCCCACTCTTGGCATTTGAAGAGGAATAAATGAGGGTCCAAAAGGCGGAGATATTCCACTGACTATGACTTTGCTTAAGAAATACTAAACAGTGCCAACTAATATCCATATTCTGGAAGTAGATTTGGCATACACATTCACTTGGCAAGGCTGGACACCGTTAAAATTCAGGCCTCATGTTTACATAACAATTTATAATGCATTACCCTTAATGCTTTCTTCATTTAAAGGAAAAAATAAAAATGAGAAACAAAAACCTACTTGGCTGATTTTTCTCCTTTTCCTTGCTCTTTCTTATATCACATATGCCTATTCTCCCAATACTCCAACTGTTAACTTAGTCAAAGCCCCTTCTTGAACCCACATTACTGGGTACTACTAGAGGAGATGGGCATCTTTTTATTGAATAAACAGAGCTTCTCTGTTACTGTTACCTGCTGGTGGAAATGAATCTCAGGAGGTCATAAAATAAAATAAGAGGTTTATTATCCATCATCTTCCAAAGGGACTTTGGCTGTGTCCCCAGATCCTAAAAGAAGGAGTCTGACGAACACAATACTAGTTCTTTGAAAAGAGGGCAAGTTTAAAAACTGCACTTCCTTTTGAGAAATAAAAGGATGCAAAGGTTTTTAAAAACAAAACCCAAATCTGGAACAATCTAATTTACATTTGATCCAGTCTTTTACATTTTGGGTGACAATGGCACAGGTTAAATAAAACTGTGCTTGTTACTGCACTTTAGGTAAGAAGACAAGTCGGGTAGAGAGAGATTTGGGGGGTGGGAGGAAGGCTCTCCTGAATGTTACCTCAAGCTTCCTCCATCTGTGCACGTTCATGGGGTTCTCCAGTTCCTCCTCCAAGGCTCGGCATCTCGTCCTCTCCTTCAGGAACTCTCTTTGCGTGTGAAAAAGCTCCTGCCTAAATAAGTCAAACTTTCTTTAGCAAACAAATTCTCTGCCCAGTATTTGAGTATCCTTTCTTTACATGGTTTCGTGCATGCTACATCTTATAGAAAAAGATGGATTAGGGAGACTTCGGGAACACTGAGACCAGCCTCCTAAGGCAAGACACAGGTGATACCAATTCTTGCTGAGGGCAAACTTCAGCTTTAGCTTTAGGGGGAAGAAAAAAGTACCAGGAACTGATTATTGATACCCAGGGAATTTTAGAGGTGTATGGAAAGAACAGGGAAGGGGTAAATGATGAGGATTTCAATATATTATTCCACGTTTCTAAATGTCTTCTACAGTAGCAGTGAGAGAACAAGCCATGTTCTACCATGAGGTACGGCCCTGCAATGCAAGCGACTGAGGCTCAGGTGAAACCTGCCATCATTAAGACAGTGTATCACCACCCTGGCAACATACTGGAGTCACCTGGGGAACTATGACCACATGCCTTTGCTTGGACCAACCCCCAAAGGAGTTCTGCTTTAACTGGTCTAGCATGAGGCTTGGGTTTCATAGATCTTTAAAGTTCTGCTGGTAATTCTATTGGAGAAGGAAACGGCAACCCACTCCAATGGTCTTGCCTGGAGAATCCCAGGGACAGGGGAGCCTGGTGGGCTGCCGTCTATAGGGTCGCACAGAGTCGGACACGGCTGAAGCAACTTAGCAGCAGCAGCTGGTAATTCTAATGTGCAGCCAGTACTGACTGAAAAATACTGAATTAGGAGTGACCATTTGTCTCATGTTCCACAACTGCACAGGTGACTGAAAAAGTCCCGAAGAACTAGCTCTGGCTCACATACACTTCTCAAATCTCTAGTTAACAGGTAACCAGAGTCTACAACCATCAACTGACTGCCAGCCTATTGAACAAGAAGTTCTGTTGGGAGGCCGAGCAGAGGCAAGCACTCAGGTTGACACGGGCAAGGAGGATATTATTATCTGTCCTCGTCTGCTGCGAGTGTGCAGATTACTAAAACCAAGCCATCTCTTTTACTCAAGTGCTTCATTTAAACCAATAATACAAACTTCCCCTCATTAGCAAGACAAACCATTAGAATTAACTGCATGATGCTCACTCAACAGGGAGCTCAGAACAAGCTGCTCAGAATTAAAAGCATATTTTTAACACTACTATTTTCTAGAGTGTCATCCTCAGAGAAGGGCAAGGATATTGGGTGGTGTGATTGATTATTCCTTTTGCACCAGACTCTATGCTAGGCACATTACATTCTCATGTTTAATTTCAACAAATTTAAAGCTCAAATAAGTTGTGATTTGCCCAAGGTCACACAGCTTGTAGGTGGCAAGTCTGAGATTGGAATTCATGCCAGCTTGCCTCCAATATCTTTATTAAGTTTATTAAATTCCTTTATAAGGAATTCCTAGGTGGCTCAGGGGAAAAGAATCTGCCTGCCAATGCAGGAGAGGCAGAAAATTTGGGTTCTATCTCTGGGTCAGAAAGATCCCCTGGAGGAGGAAATGGCAACCCACTTTAGTATTCTTGCCTGGAAAATCCCAAGGACAGAGGAGCCTGGCCGTCTACAGTCCATGGGGTTGCAAAGAATCGAACACGACTGAGTGACTGAACATGCACCTCCCACTATAAAGATAAAATCTAGTGTCAACAGACTGAGAATGAGTAGAATGTGGTGCTGTGCATATGTAATAAAAATAACACATGGCTGGCAAGTTTGTGTTAATCACTCAGTTGTGTCCAACTCTTTGGGACCTCATGGACAGTAGCTCACCAGGCTCTGCTGTCCATGGAATTCTTCAGGCAAGAATACTGGAGTGGGTTGCTATTCATTTCTCCAGGGGATCTTCCAGACCCAGAAATCAAACCCAGGTCTCTTGCTTTGCAGGCAGATTCTTTACCAACTAAGCCGCCAGGCAAGTTTTGTGATGGTCCTGGAGACCATTCAATAGTGTCTTAGAGTAAATCCAATTGCCTCCAAAATGTCAATGGTGGTATCTCTGGATAGGAGACTTATGAGTGATTTTCTAATCCCTTCTTTACATTTTTTCTGCATGCCCCTTATTTTCTACAATGAATTTGTATTACTTTATTGTCTGAAATATGAACAACTCTTTAAAAAAGAGAGCATTGATCTATCCTTGATGGTGGCAACTTCCTTCGCTATTCCCAAACGTATTTACTGCATCTAAATATCAAAACTATCTAATTCAATTAATTTAAGAAGCAGATCCAGACTGTGTCCTTGTCCCAAGGTAGTCAAGGATACTGTTCATCTACAAGTCTGTGGAGGATAAGATAGTTACTGAGAAAATACCAGACCTACTATTTGGTTTCCTGCAATTGCCCATATAAAACATGGTGATGTTTTCCCAAAGGGAAAGTAGATCTTGTATAATGTAAGATTTAAAGCAAGAAGAAGGCGCACTAAGCTCAAGTGAAAGCTGCGGAAGATAAATCAAGAGTGAGATGTAAAATTTGGCTGCCTTCTAAGGAAACAGAGTTTTCAAATAGTGATAAAATTAAAATTTCCCCCCTTTCCATTCTGTGTGTAATTCCAAGAAAAAGATGTGCAAATGTTACCAGGATTCAATTTAAATATTGATGTTCCATCTCTTGCATAGTGCCTTATTAAAGAAATTCTAAAGAGTTCATTGGGGGAATTTTTTTCTGAATTGTAACTACTTTGTGGTTATGATTTAACTGAACTTTCTTTCACTAAATCCAGAATAAAGTTTTCAAAAAACACTTTTGCACTTGCCTACGTTCCTCTGAAAGGAAATGAATTCATTTTTTGTGACATAGAATGGACATGATGTAGATTATGGGTTATGGAAAAGTTTTTCTCATTATTTCTTAATTATTTCAACATAAAAAATTATTTTATGCAACCAGAAAAAGACTTTCAATGGCCGGGACTACCCTGATGGTCCAGTGGTTAAAACTCAGGGGACCAATGCAGGGGACCCAGGTTTGATCACTGGTCAAGGAACTAGATCGCACGTGCTGTAACTAAGACCCGGCGAAGCCAAATAAATATCTTTAAAAAAAAAAAAAAGACATTCAGTGACCAACAGGAGGAACATAAGGTCCTTAGGAAGTCCCCATAGGCTGCTATGCGCTCACCTCCGAGGGGGTCTTCTATTACCTGAGTTCATCGACATTGGCCACACTCCTGGCAAGAATCCCTTTCTCCCGGCGAAGCTTCTTGATCTCAAGTTTGAGGATTCTCATGTCCTCCAACCTCTGGTTATACTGGCTCTCGCCTTTATTCAGCACAGACTGCTGGATCTTGATCTTCTCATAAAGCAAAGCCAACTCATCATTGCGCCGAACTAGCTGCGACCCAAGGATATCTCTCTCGCTGATGACCTAGAAAGGTAGGGCAGGGCATGGCCACTGGGGGACAAAATGTCCCACGTTTCATTACAGCAGCAGCATTCAGAGAATCAATGAACACCCATCCAGTGTCTGCATGTGCTAGGCACTCAGTAGGTGAGGCACTGAAAATAACCTGCTAGACAGCCAATACTGGACTCCTCCCACAAGAGTTGGCAGTCTTGTTGGAAAGAGTACAACAAATTATATTATTAATAATAATAGTCCATGGCCCATGGGTTTTTTCCAACATGTTACCGTATGTGTTGAAATCTGAACGTCTTTAGGGTGGGCAAGCTCTTGCCAAGTTCTACCACTCCTTACTGTCTTGTACCACATGCTTCCCTGGTGGCGCAGATGGTAAAGAATCTGCCTGCCATGCAGGAGACCTGGGTTTGACTCCTGGGTCAGGAAGATCCTCTAGAGAAGTGACTGACTACCCACTCTAGTACTCTTGCCTGGAGAATTCCACGGGGAGAGCTCTGGCAGGCTACAGTCCGTGGAGTCGCAAAGAGTCAGACATTACTGAGTGACTAACACTTTCACTTTCACTGTCTTGCACAAGCCAATGTCTCTTTTTTTTAACCTGCTAGATCTTTGAAAGCATTTAAGTTTCTAAGCCCCAAAATTATGTAATTACTCACTGTAATTATATGCAACAATGACATTATGCTAGAATGTAAACCCCCTGAGGGCAGGGTAACTTATTTTCTTGTTGGTCAGTATATCCCCAGAGCCTAAAGGGGCGGGTAACACACAGGAAGTGCTTGTAAATAGGAGCAGAATAAATGAATGGATATTTCATAATTAATCAACAGGAAGTGGGCCTCTGGGGCTGTTCTGAAACTCAATGGAAGAGCTCAGAAAAACAGGAGGTTTTGTGAGGAACTGAATCAAACAATTGTGTCTGCTGATAGAGTCTGCAGGTCTGGGGAGGTGTGGTCTCTTCCTACCTGGTCCAACTCCTTCTTTTGTCTCAGCCTCTCCCCATCAGCCTCTGCTATAATTCGCAAGAGTTTTCTCTCCTCGGCTTCCTGCTTTTCAATGAAGTGTTTGGTCTCCAGGGCTTGTTGTCTCAGCTTCTGCAGCTCGGCCTGACAACGAGTGAAAGATACAGACCGATTTCACTCTGTAACAGCATAAACCAGGTTGGCAGGGCCCAGATTTAGATAGATAGTGTGCTTCTGATACTTCCCTGTGATGTCTCGTTTAGCATGGTTTGATCACCCTCACAAGCAAAGAAAGCTTAACATACACACACACACACACACACACACACACACACGGCCTGTAAAGAAACAAAAATGCATATTACAGTGATCATGTTTATTCTGAGTTGTGCCCTTGAGGGATTTCCCTCATTTTTCTATATCAGTATAGCAGGAACCTCATTGGTATTCAACAGCAGTTCTCATACCAGCTAAACATGAGGAGAATCCACAAATAGTACAGAGAAGGATGTGGGGGGTGAGCATGGTGGGGGAGGGACTGGGTGGAGGTATATCTGTATGTATCAGCTCCTATAACAATCCTAGTATCATCAGCATATCAATTGCAGAGATAAAGTCTATTATAAGCAAAATGTAAATTAATAAAGATAACAACCAAATGACTGTCTTATAAAACATCCTGATGGAATAGAAGAGATTGTCTTAGGAGTAGGGTCTATATATCTTTTTATATATAGACCCTACTCCTAAGACAATTCCAATCTAGATGAGAAGATGAGATATACAAGTATTATGCAAATATTAACAAGTCCAGACAATAATGTTTCAGAATCTTTGTTGTCACACAGACAGTGAATTAATGCCACAGGAGGTCAGAGGACTGCATCTGTTAGGAAGGCTTCCTGGAAGAACTCAGATCTTGAGGCTACATGGAAATCCTAAGAGAAGCAAGGAAAGGCTGCTTTGACTGGTAAATTTCAGAAGGAAAATTCCTCTCATCACAGGACACATTTGCTCCAAATCCATAAGTATATTTGTGGCTTACAACACCTCTGGCATGATATTAAGTATTGTGCCTAGCTACTCTTGTCCCAATTTCACAAATGCAATTAGAGACAAAGAAGAGTAAATCAACCTGCTCAAGGTCACGAAGCTAATAAGAAGCAGAGTTGAGATTCCAACCTAGAATTTTTCATTCCCGAGTTTCTGTTCCCTCTGCTATCACCATACAATAGTTCCAAGTCAAATACAGAAGATGAGTAAGACGTGAGGGATTCACCACCCACTGGAGATGACAAATATAACCAACCACCCTACAGTGTGGAAATGCTCTCTACTGTGAAGAAGGACATGGGAGTACAGGACAGAGTTCCTATTTCTTCCTGGGGTTTAGAGAGAAAAACAAGTCTGGGCTTTGGCAGTTGACAGTTATTTCTAAAAGGGAGATGTATGTGGCGGGGGAGAGCAGTCTAGTGGTCAGGCTCACGTGAACAGAGGCATGCAAACGATAAAGCACCTGGTGTGTTTACCAGATGGCAAAACATCCAATGTGGCTGAGCTGGAGTACTAGGTAGGGAACAGCAGGAAGTAAGCCTGGTAAAACAGCTGAGACAACCTGAGAAGGGCCTTCTACACCATGGAGAGTATGCAGTGGACAGCCAGAGAGTTAATCATAATAGAGGAAAGAAAAATACAACTTCGAGGTTCCATGCCCATGTAAGGACAGGTGATATCACAGCCAGGTCAGCACAAGAAGGAAAGATGGAGGAAGAACTCTGCTTTCACCCACACCTAAAATCACAAGGGAGAGGACAAGACAATATTAAGCCTCCAACTTTTCAATGGCCTGCAGGTCAACATGTGAAAATGAAAAACTAGTAACTTTTTCCTTCAAGGAAGAATTGGGTTCCCCCACATCCACCCACCCAGAAATGTCACAAAAGGGATGACAGAAAACCAAATACTTGCAAGTGAGTGCCTCTGAACCAACCCAACTCTAGTTGCCACCTGCCTCTAATCTATGAAGACCAAGAGTCATTAATCCCATAGCTCAAATTTATCCAAACAGTACAAGACGCCGCACACCTAGCAATAGACCTGTAATGTCACAAACTAAATGCCGCTAGCTACTATAAAACACAGGGTTTCCTTTATGAGATTTTGTTTGCTCATTCATGAAATGTATTTTGGTCCAGGGACAAGCAAAGGGAAACAGTTAATGAAAAAAGATCTGGTCTGGTATTGTATTTACCACTTTGGGGGAATTGCCTGTTAGGAAAGAGAGTCAAGAACCAGCCTTTCTATTTCTATAATCATTTAAGGTGACGGCGAAGACAGCAATAAAATACCTGTTTGGCTCATGCTTCCTTTAATAAAACTTTTATTTTCCCAGATGTGCAACATTCACTTCCCTATTCCTAAGTGCCGAGAGCTGATCAGAATCTATCAGCAGAACAAAATGAAACCGCTGTTATATTAAAATGCAATCAATGGTGTGTAAAAGTATCTGTCTAAAATGTAAAACCGTTCGTGTGTTTGGCATTGCTTGGTGCTTTTTTCCTAGTATATCAAAATTCTGAGTGGTCTCCTTATGTCATAAATTTATGGGCTGTAAACAAGATGTGGCATTAGACGTTGGCAGCAAATGTTAACATCAACAAAATACCTTAGGTCTAATGCATTTAACAGTTGTAAATCTGAGCTGTCTTATCCAGAAAAGATGGTAAAAACTACTGTGCACCCAAAGCTCATCAAGAAACATTCTAGATGGGACCCGAGGCATAAAGCTGTAATATGATGGCAGGACAAGCTCTTGAGTCACCACTTCTACAATTATACAGTTTTGTGATAGCTGTTCATGGCGTGTGTATCACCCAATCTGGCTGCGGGCATAAATCACATCTCAAGAACCATACTTGGGAACTTCTCTGCTGGTCCAGTGGTTAACAATCAGTCTGCCAGCTCAGGGGACACAGGTTTGATCCCTGGTCTGGGAAGATTCTACATGCTGCAGGGCAACTAAGCCTAAGGGCAGCAACTATTGAGGACATGTTCTAGAGCCCAGGAGCCATAGCTATGGAAGCCCGCGCACCCCAGAGACCATGTGCAATAAAAGAAGCCGCTGCAGTAAGAAGCCTTTGCACCACAATGAAGAGCAGCCCCATGCACGGCAACCAGAGGGTAGCCCCTGCTCGCCTCAACTAGACAAAGCCCTGTCAGCAGGAAGACCCAGCGCAGCCAAAAATAAACGAATAAATTTTTTTTAAAAAAAGAAACATATTTGAGGGAGTTTGACCCCTTCATACGGGATCCCAACATTCACTGGGTTTCACAGAAACCATCTGTTTATATTCTGCAAAATAAATAGGACCACCTGAAGTCTTCCAACCACGAGAATAATTAGGCTTTCTCTCTCTCTCCCTCACCCTCCCTCCAACAGTTCCCATCCATGTTGCTCTAGACAGTCTACTGAGGACAAGGATATGGTGCCCTGAAGCCAGTTGCTAATGTGACGCTGAGCTCTGGACACAGAGAATTTGCTGCTGAATTATTCACCAAGAATCAAAGTGCTGTCAGATTGATGCGGGATGATGGGGTGGTGATGAACAGAATCGAGAGCTTGTTAGGACTGGAAGGCAGACACTCCACATGAGATGGCCCCTTTAGTGCTGATGAAACAAGACAGGGACAGAATGGGCAGATGAACACAGATGCAGCAACATCTACAAAGAACTATTGACATTCTGTCATAACCATCATGTGCTGATAATGTCTAGAATCCTGAGGAGTCCGTAGAGCCTGGCAGCAATTGAAAAGGAAACATGGAAGAAGCAAGACTTTTCTATCGGCAGGTGGGGGATGAATGAGGACGGGGATGATCTCTTACGGACAATTGTTTGTCGTGAGCTTGGAGAAGCAGTAAACTGGGTTGTCCTGTCAAAAAGCATCTCACGGTCTACCAAACAGGCTAGGGCTTGCCCTTCCAGGAGGGATTATGTACCTACATAGCTTTGTATAACTCACTATAATAAGCTACATGTCTCTCATGGAGCAAAGTTACTAAAAAAAAAAAAAAAAACAATCTGCCCTTTCCTCCACGGTTTTGGTTTGCAAAGCTCAGATGCATGAAATTCAGAGACCTCTGTAAACATGATTCATCTTTGAGGCTAAAAAAGTCAAGAGGCTGAAACTCAACATTTGAGCTGTCATATTTTTCTAAAGGAAGTCAAATGGGCTTAATGATAGGCCAAAATTATCCACTCGAAGCACCATTGCAAGCCACTGTTGGATAACCTCAAATAATAAATCAAGGAGGGAGCCTTTTTTCTGTCCCTAATTCCTGTCTTAATGGAAAAAGCTGAGGAAAAGGCATCCTAGTTTCACAGTAAGTCCAAAGCAATCATCTTCCTATAATCAATGACACAAAGCTATCCAGACCTAGGATTCACCATTTGGAGCAGACTTTCTAGAACAGAAGCCCTTTAATCATCTCCCTTAGTCACCAGCTGCCAACTCTGCTGGCACAGGACCAAAGAAACAGAACTTTATTTTATTATGACTAAAATAATATAAAGTTTATGATTTAAACTTTATTTTATTATAAACTTTATTCCTTTATTTTATTATGATGCTTCTTTGGAGTTATCTGTATAGACATCTAATGATGGAGGGTGTAATTGAAACAAATATTAACCAAAGTCAAACTAAGGAATCAGGAATAATTCCTTTTTTGCATAGGACATTGCTTATTCTAAAGCAGGACTTTGTCTTCCTTGGACCCCATTATGCAGCAATAATTAATCTTTTGAAAAGAGCATTCCTTGGAAAGTAAGAGATGAGGATCAATGTCATCCTCTGAAAGGTAGAGATGATGTACCAAATCCAGTTACACTGAAGCCTTGCTAACATGGGTCGATGAGGCCTGTGAGTGAAGCAGTGTTTGCAATAAGAGTAGTCTGATTCAGCCAATGATAAACACCATCCCACCATAGACTTCCAGGGTGGAACAAACAACCTCCTATAAAACTATTAATATGCTTTCAAACAAGGAGAATAAGGGCAAAGATGCAAGGTATTTTCAAATTTCTTTATATGCAAATAAATTTTAGTACAGAATTTTCTGTTTTTTTCTATCAGGAGCTGGAGTGAGGAGATGAAAGTCTTAGGTAAATATATCAATTACCATATTTTTATTGTAAAGGCACTTTCACCACATTTTAATTTTTCTCTATCCTCATGTGCCTTAACTTAATTTAATGTAGTAGTTCTAGTTCCATGAAGACATCTAATTAAGTTGATAAAACCTATTGTTAAACTGAGAGTGCATATTTCAATCTACAGCATCATAGAATCAAGGAAATTTGACATTAAATCTGTCCAATGCTACATATTCATTTTCAAGATAGGAACTATCTTTGAAGATAATCATGTGCAGAAATTCAGTCTTCCACCAGCTGTAGAAGTTTCTGCAAATGGCTCATAAACATACACATTAAAGAAAATAAAAGTGGCACTATTCTCTTAGAAGTTTCATTTTTAATTCTTTGGTCAAATGGATTAGAAGGGAAATTTACTGGATTGGCTAGGAAAAGGTAAAAACATTAGGTTTAGTGAATATATATAGTAAAATGTATTTAATTCAAAGTTTTGATACGGTATAATTATTTGGCATATATTTAGGGGACAAGTCTTTATGTTATATTAGTAGACCTAGAATGTTCTAAATGTGTAGATTTAAAAGGATGTATTTTAGCAATATGTGAAGACAAAGGTGGTTCCCTAGAGGAGAGGCTGCAAAGTTCTTAGACTCACAGAAGTAAGGTGATCCATGAACCCAGCTGAGGGCCAAACAAGTAAGGACAAAGTCTGACACCTGGTAGACAATGATGTCGCAGGCAGAATAGGCACGTGCACATGAAGTAAATAAGTATCAGGGCAGTGGCACAAAGGATTCTGCCAGCATTGTCTCATAGAAGCCCTAGGGAGGAGTTCGGGAGGGTTGAGTGCAAACAAAGGGCTGGACTTGAGTTGTAAATGCAAAGAGATGGCAGTGAGCCTGAAAGTGCCAGGACTTCCTGGGCACTGCTGACCTGCTAGGTTCTCTTCCACTGATGCCATGATAACCAGCACAGCATCTCCACTGCCCCCTTCCCACTCTAGCTGGGAGCACTCCCTGTAGGGAAGACAGACCTCGAGGTGGTGGAGTTCATCCTCCTGGTGCTTTGGTTGTTCTCCCTGACACCAGCTATCCTCACTGAGCATGGAGCCTGGCCCCAGTGGGTCTAAAGGACTGACAGCTGGCTCGTTGCCTTCATTATAAGGTCTGTACCTTCAGGGTTTCCTTCTCCTTTTCTATGCGCTGCTGTTCCAGATGTAGTTTCACAAGCGCTGACTCCTTAGCTGAGATTTCTTCTTTCAGTTGATCTACCTGATGGGTCATAATCTTTAATTTTCTCTTCATTTCTGTTATTTCATCCTAACAAAATGAAAGGAGATATGTTTGAAAATGAATTAAATAGACATCATCCACTATGGAAGCTCAAGACATAGTCAAGAGCTTTTAAGGGAGATTCATTTAAAACAATGATTTCCTGACTGATTACAACTGGGTATCTTGTGCCCACAGACCCCAAAGTATTTCATAGCATTAACTCTCCAAATATTCTCATGAGATAGATGTAAAAACACATAATGAACATGCCATACACATACACACATGCACACACTTCACTCCTCGCTGTATAAGAGACAAATTGGAATCACAACAAACATTTTTAACTAAAAAATTACAAAGCAAAACTCTGCACTTAAATGACAAGAGTATGCTGCTCCCCTCTGAGTCATGATAGCTATTAGCAGTTTTAAAAATGAGAAACAGAGAATGCAATTCTATATAATAATTAAAACCAGGGCCACGATCTTCACATCTGATCAAGTTGTGTCATTTCCATTTCAAACAATCTGACAGTTCTGCATAAACTGATCTTCTCTTTCAGGATAATTCCCCAATTTCTTTCTCAATCTACTGTAAATTCTGCTATTAGAATAACAGAAACTGCTTTAAACCCAGCATGGGAAGAGAGCAAAATGTAAAGACATAAATATCTTCTTTACCTGAGCCTCAACCAGATTTTTACTATACAGATTCCTGTCTGACCTCACAGCTTCATACAGGTTCTGTTGCTGTTTTAATTTAGTCTCTGATTCAGCAATTTTTTTCCTATAGTCAAAAATCTGCATTTCACGAACTTTTATGTCTTCCATGTTCATGAGGACCTGGAGGAGAAAGAAGTAATAAAGATGGTTAAATAGCCCATCTGTGGTTATTGGTTCAGGACAAACAGATTTTGCATCTCAGGGTAGCGACCAGAAATGCCAGCAATCAGAAAATCTGACTGTGGCTATAATCACTGCGGTACAACACAGAAGTTCAGCCCAGCTGATTAGGGGCAAACATATACTTTATCTACAGCACCGTTCTGCTCAAGCATGAAGGCTTAGCACAGTTATTCTGTGATCACAAAACAGAAAAGAAAACAAAGAAATTCTTTCAATTCTGAAAACCTCTCTTGCCCACCCCAACCACCAAAAAAGGAAAGGAATAAAAAAAAGCACAAGCTTAAACAGATCTTAACACAAAGCACTAGGAATGGTAAGAGATAGATTAGCTGTTGGGCCACAGTTGTGGCTTTATAAGGTTAACCACAAGAAAGAAAAGTGACCTCTGACATTGATAGCAATCATAACGCTGTCTACCAATGTCAAACTCACTCCCATCAGGGAAACCCAAAAGACTTCATAAAAATGTGTTCTACTGTGTGCAAAACACTTTGAGGCAAGATGAGATGCAGAAGCAGCTGCCTCTTTTTTGCAAGTATGGAAAACCGAGGCCCAAAATTCCACCGTGAGCCAATGCTTCTCGACAAGCAATCCACACAGTAGAAATGACATCATCATGACTCTTAGCTGCAATGACCATGGAAATTGATTTTCTAAGGACAAACTTCTTCTAAAATTCCTTAAGAAAAAAAATTTTGCAAGGAAAACTGGTTGAATGAATTTAGCTTATGCTTTAACAACAGGTAGAACACACAAGGAGAAAATTCTTAAGAATATTTCACTGCATTTCAGTGGAATTCTCTTAATTAACGACTGCAGTTGAAGGAAATAAACAGAGAAACATGACAGAGAAAGAAGGAAGGGAATGCACTTGAAGTAACACGGCCAGGGACGCTTCCTAGAAAGAAGAGATTTACCTAGAACCTAAAGGTCAAAAAGGACTTAGCTCTTTGTCATGCTGATATTATGATTCAGGTTTCAGATACCTGTGAGCATCATGTTCCCAATCCCCAGTCATTGCAGTAGCGAATCCTTTTACTCTACTTATAGAATTAGTATTCCAGAAAATATATTCTAAGAAATCGTCTTCTAAAGTTTCCCCAACAGAGTTAATGATGGCTGGTGTCTAACATATTTCCCTTTATATCTTTAAATAGTGAAAGAAGTGTTAGTCGCGTCCAACTCTTTGCGACCCCATGGACCAGGCTCTTCTGTCCATGGAATTCTCCAGGCAATGTTACTGGAGTGGGTTGCCGTTCTCTTCTCCAGAGGGATCTTCCCAATTCAGGGACTGAACCCAGGTCTCCTGCATTGCAGGCAGATTCTTTACCATTTGAGCCACTAGTGAAATCCAATATCTTTCAAAGTTTTCTTAGATTTATATTTAAGGAAGGATGGAATCAAATCTTAACAAATGTCTTTTTAGCATATATTATTTTGCACTGCCCTATCGGTTCTATTGATCTGATATACTTAGTAACAAATGTCTTCTTTTACAAGTATTCTGATTTTATTTCTTTATTCATAGTCCCATATGCCGTAATTCTGAATAAGTGCATAAATGGGAAATAAACATTTATTTTCTTTTCCTTATTTACTTGAACCTTCTTCTCCCTTCCACCCACATCAGTCCCTCATTGACATAGAAAGAAACCAGGTTAATGATCCAGTATGTGTTCTTCCATATTTTTCTTTGAATTCTGCATATTCTATTTAGGTCTACTAATGTCTTTATCATAATAATAGCTAGTATTTCTCAGGTACTTTCTATATACTGAGGATTTTACAGGTATTAACTCATTTAGTCTTCACAAAAATCCTCATAGATGTGCATTATCATATCCCAATTTTACAAATAAGGAAACTGAAGTCAAAAGAAGTAATGTAGTTCACAGCTAGCCAACTAATGAATATACAGGTACAGGGGTTTGTTTTCCTTTTGCTTTCTGAATTTGGTCTTTACTTTTCAGCAAAGTGGGATCCTCATATATTTTTATGCACCTTGCTTTTTATACTTTGTGGGAATATGGTAGAGTAGCTCTAATTCATTCTCTTTAAAAGGGACATAATGTCCTCAGTGTAGGTGAACCCCTCCCCTCTGATGGGCATTCACTTGGCTTCCGTTTTTTTGCCAGTCTGAAACATGCTACAATAAACATTTTATACATGTGTTCTTATGTACTTGTCCTTTTACTTCTGTTGGGATGGATTCCCAGAAGAGGAGTATATGGCTCAAAAGACATATATATTTTTAACTTTAATAGACACTGCTAGATTGCTTTAAAAAATGACTGTACATTTTACATTTTCACACCACTAGCAACAGTTTTCTTAATAGAAAACTATCCTTGTGGTTTCAGGATAAACCTCTTTGGTCATACTGAATGATTCCTTTTAATGTACTGTTGAATTTGGTTTGCTAGAATTTCATTTAAGATGCTACATACATATTTATAAGTGACTTAAGTCTATAGTTTTCTTTTTGGTTCTATTTTAATATCAAGATTTCTGCTAGTTCCATAAAGTGAGCTGAATACCCTTTTGTTAATTCATTCAACCACTCGCCTACTCATTCATTCACTCATTGAACATGCATTGAGGACCCATCTATGGCAGGCACTATAAAAGCACCAGTGATGTAGAGAAAAATAAGATGCATTCCCTACCCTCAAATTCACTTCTAGTGAGTAACTCCACTGTAAAATGATAATCAAGGAATGGATACAACCAATAATCTGAGATATACACAGGGTGTTATGAGAGAATTAAACACTGCGAGGGTAATAGGGTGGCCATACACATCTTATCTAAGAAGTTAATATTTGGTATTTACATAATTTGTGAGAACTACCTCTTCCTTCTTGTTCCTAGATCATCCCACCCAAGGACTCATTCATCCCCAAGCTTTCTCCAAGGCCTGGAGTTTTTGTTCAGTATCACAGCAGAAGGCATGGGTTAGGTCAGTAAAGTAATGCCAATCAATACTGCCTCCAAGACCAACACAACACTGTAAAGCAATTATCCTCCAATAAAAAATAAATTAATAAAAAAATGAAATAAAGAAATTCCAACAGAAAAAAAATTTACCCCCAAGAATACATAATACATTTTTCTAAATTCATACACACAGAAAAAAAATTTACATAGCCTGGGAATTATCTGATTCTTCAATTCTAAAATAATTAGGCCCCCAGTGACAACACTGGAGCTATTGCTCTCTCAGATGTTTTGGTGGCTTCCATGGTTATTAATCTTTCTATGGTTTCTACTTCTCCTTGAGTCAAGCCTTGATGTGTGTACATATTTTCAAGAAAAATATCTATTTCAACCAATCTTTTACATTTATGCAACCAGAGTTGCACAAAGTATTTTTTTATATTCATTCATTCATTCGTGAATGAATGCTGCACCAGGTCTTAGTTGCACCACGTGGGATCCTCAATGTTGAAGGCAGCATGTGGGTTCTTTAGTTGTAGCATGCAAGATCTTTTATTTGCAGCATGTGGGATCTAGTTCCTTGGATAGGGATCAAACCCAGGTCCCCTTCATTGGGAGCATGGAGTCTTAGCCACTGGCCACTAGGGAAGTCCTTGTACAAAGTATTTTATATTATTTTGCTGTTTTATTTTTATTAATTTCCATCACCCACTTTGTATGGAAAGAAAATAGCCCAAGGTAAGAATATACACAGACTCAGTGATGAATGGCTTGCATTGTTGGTTAAGGGGCTTGAAGGAAGAAGAGGCATGCAGGTAGATCTGAAATGAAGACATTTCACTCCTTCTTCCATCGTCTCTTTGATCTGTCCCTTTAGAATCCTTGAAAATGAGTAGCAGGTGGCCTTTTAAGGTACCAGCACTAGCAACTAAAATGTTTAAGTTAGGAACAAATGGGAAACCTAAATAAGGTATCCATTCCTGGATCTGTTACTTGTTTGATTTTTTTAAAGAAAGACACTATCTTAGCCCCATATGTAGCCTTTCTATGGACATGACCACCTTCGTTGGGGTCAGTGAAATGAATAGATTGAAAATACTTTGAACAGCATCATCAGCATTCAGAATATCAAGCAGCACATCAGAGAAAAAGAAAAAAATTGCTTGTTCAATCACTTTGAGAAATATTACAGCAAGAATAATCCTTTGCACTGACAGAATAATGCTCCAGAGAAGACGTAACCAGGGGCATTTCTTTCTGGGGCACCCAGTTAGCCGGGTTCATCTTTTTGCAAACAACAGTACACAAAGTCTAACTTGTTCTTGAAGCTGGGAGTAGCAGGAACCCATCATGATACCAAAGAGATCAAAGGTTATTTTGTTTAAATGACAGCAAAAATTTTAAAAGTATAGAAGCAAAGGGAAAAGACAATTCACAAAGCAATACAGTTCTAAGTGTTGGGACTCAATTTGTTTTGAGGGAAATCATTCAAACCGATGTCACATAGAGGTTCAAATCCTGAAAATTCATAAAATGTGCGGAGTATCAGGTAGACACAAAACCCTTCATCAGCAAAATGTTCCCAGTTTCAAAGGCAGAGAATGCAGAATGCAAGCTATGGGTCTGGAGCTTAATTAATTGATTATACTTTAGATACCTCAAACCAACTCTGAGATAAATCACATCCAAATACAGAGTTTTATTACAGCCAGAGGGTTGGAAAGCCTAGAATGTGGAGGCCTACTTCAGAGGAGACCAGAAAATGCTTACAGTGCACTATGAGGGTACAGTCTCTGTTTATAACCTACTACCTTTTCTTTTTTTGTTAAAACAACCTGCCGATAGAAATAATAGTGAGATAAAAATCAATAACGTGTGCAGGAAATCTGCAGCCAAAGTCAAAACACCATATGTACTAAGACAGGAAGAGAAAGTAGGTCACTGAATTTGGAATCTTTTAACTTGCAATTGATGAAATATCAGTACAATAAACTTTTAAA